TGATCAATTATGCGACAAACAAACTAAGCATTATTTAAATAAGTTTGGGGTTAGCCCCCAAATTGAAGGACAACTGTAGACTTACAAAAAAAGTGGTTACGGTTCCAGCAGAGTTTCCAGGTACAAGTTTGAGTTGCATGTCGAATCTTCCAAACAAGTACTCATTCTTGGACTGAAATCCAGAACCAGAATACTGGTCAAGTGACAACGTCAACATTCTTCCACCTTCGACTATCTTCCCACGCCCGTCACCCCAAGTAATATCAGCATCTCGGTAGAAGTTACCAGCTGTAGGGATAGTGAAACAGGCCAAGACCACAGAAAGTGAAAGCATCACTAAATTTGCTATATCGACTGCCATTTTGAGAAGAAGAGCTAGAATGTGTTTGTTTTTGATGAGTAAAAGTTGGGTTCCGAAAGCCCTTTTTATACAGATTTTGCACTCCTCTTTTGGAAGCTGTCAACTGAGCTGGATGCCATGGATTGAGAGTTGGCCAAGATTAATTGAACAAACTCGAGACATAATTATTTTTCCGCGTAATGTATGAGCTTTTATTATCTCTGGCATGGGTCCAACCTGAGAGGTTCTTGTGCAAAATATATGCAACTTAACCGAAAATTATGATACAAAATTAAACCTCATATTTGATTCTTAAATCTCATTATGCAGCATAATAATTTTTTTTAAAGGTAATAATTTGTAGGCATCATATTTCGTATTTTCCGCTCTAGTTTACATAATTATAATACAGGCAAGAATTATACATTTACGTATTCAAATGAACAGGCCGTCTTTCCGAGTTGTGGTTTTGTCGTTGTCTTTTATAGTGTTTTTTTTTTTGAAAATTTTGTACGACTTAAAATTAAGACATAATCAAATATTCTAATCTATTTTCAAATTAAATTGTTAGAAAATAAATTAAAAATAAAATTTATTAGTAGCAGTAAATGTATGACGATAGCTAGAATTACAATTAAAACTGAGAAACCTTTTGCCTTTTTGTGATTGTTGATACCAATGTCTAGCTCAACTATAAAATCAAAACTAAGGTCACGTCTCAATTACGGGGAGAAAGAGGGAATTAAAAAAAAAAAAAATTCTTGTTGCCATTCAATTTCTTAAGCTCCCCGATTGACAACCATTATTTCAAAACTCTTTAATTCTAATAATTATTTTTAATTACATATTTACAAAATAAAATATTTTGTACGTAAACCGAACTTTTTTCCCTATCTTTTAACCACATATCTTCCAAAAAAATCACCATTGAAAACTTTTTTTTCTCAAAATAATGACCATCAAACAGGGACTAAATTGTAAAGATTTTAGTGTGTGAACATGATTGCAAAACTTGACATAATAAGCTACTACTAATGTAATAGCTGTAATAGAAGTATTCCTTGTGGCTAGAAGATTAGTTGTAGAATTTAGCCATTGTTTATCACCATTAAATTAGGAAAAATGAGTTTCGAAATGGTGAATTTTCGGAGAATGTCTGGCTAGAAAGTAAGAAAAGATTTTTTGGATTTACGTGATAAATGTTTTATTGTGAGAATGTGTGGTTGAAAAAGAATTGAAAAAAAATAGTTTTGAAATAATAGTGGGTTAATTACCCCAATAGTCACTGAACTTTACTAAAAGTTTCCATCAGGTAACTGAACTTTAAAAACTACGTGGTTAGTCACTGAACTTTCAAAACTGCAACCTCATCTATCACTGAACTTTAAAAATCCCTCAATTCATCAATGAACCTTGCAAACGATTTCTACGGGGTCACCGAACTTTGTAAAAAGTTTCCCTGGATGGTCACTGATTCAATGACAATTTGAGAAACTTTTTACAAAGTTCAGTAACGAATATGGTGATTTTTAAAGTTTAGTGATGGATGGGATTGTAGTTTCGAAATTCAGTGACTAACCATATAATTTTTAAAGCTTAGTGACCTAATGGAAACTTTCGGTAAAATTCAGTGACTATTGAGGTAATTAATGCAATAATAGTAGACAAGCAATGGCTTAATTTATAACGGCAATTTGATAAGTGTATTAATTTTACATGCTTATATGTTTTATAAACTTGATATATATTTGCAAATTGAGCCGATTTCTACTCAATTCAGTTTAAATCTTGTCAGCGTTAGGTAAAATCCAAATTTGGAAGCCCTTGGCTTTCAATGGTTAGAAATGAATTTAAAAATATAATTTATTAGTAGCAATAGATGTATGACAATCATTAGAATTTACAATTAAAACCAAGAAACTCATTTTTTTTTCTTTTTGCAATTGTTCATATTAAGGTCTAGCTCAAGTATAAAATCGAAGTCTTACCAAGTCAGTGATTAGGGCCGCCTCTCATTTATGGGGAGAAAGGGTGAAAAAAAAAAAAAAAAACTTCATGTTGCCATTGAATTTCTTAAATGTTTCTAAGAATCTTGTAAATTAGCTTGTAATAGTTTGTACCATGAAATTCTAGCAAATATTGAAGGAATCACTGTTGTCTCCTCAAAATTCACATTACGCGTGACAAAGGTATAAAACTATTGAATTTTTTTATATGTGTGATAATTAATTCTATTATTGAAGATGTAAAATAATAATAGAAATATATAGTTGGTGTACTTGTAATAATTGATAGTATCCACACAAGGAGAGTAAAATGTTTCATCAGTCTTTGAACTTATACCTTTATCATGTTTTACTCATTGAATTTTAAACTATTTTTAACTAATTATTGTACTTTAATGAACACATTGAACTCCATCTCTCAATTATAATGTTATACAAGTCACTAGATTTTAAAATGGTTTAGAGTAGTAACTGAACTCTTGTACATTGCACTTCATCACTCTCTTACCATGTTTCATTAATCAATGAACTTATACCTCCACCACACTTTACACGCTGAACTTTTAAATGCTTCTGAGTGGTAAAATAAAATAGATAAATTATTCTTTATCTTGACTGTGATCGTATGCTCAAATCAAGAAAATAAAAAGTCATATTTCAAACGTACAGTGAGATTTTCGATTTAGAGTTGATAATATTAATCAAGATTAACAAATTATAATTTTTAGAATTTTCACGAGGTAATTTAAGAGAAAAGAAGGATGCCGTCTTCGTGTATGTTATTTTATACTTCAAAATTTTTAATTTTTGAATAAGTGTATTCAGTGAGTAACGTTCAGTGACCATTCGAAAGTAATTTAAAGTTTAGCTTGTAAAGCATGATGCATGTATAAGTTTAGTAAGTAATGAAAGATGGTGAGTGAGTGAGTGATGGAATGCAACAAGTTAAATTTCAGTAATCATTCGAAGACAGTTTTAAAGTTTAGTGGCTAATGAAACATAATGAGTGTGTGATGGATTGCAATATGTTAAATTTTAGTGACCATTGTGAAATATTTTGAAATTTAGTGACTAAAGCGTGGCAAAGATATAAGTTCAATGACTAATGAAACATTTAACTCCAACAACTAGTGATTGAATTTAATATGTTCAAAATGAATGGAGATGATGAAAGTTACAACTTACATGCATGTTCCTCAAATTTTGCAAAACTGGCACTTCAGTCCTCATTCTCATTTTCGTGGCACGTCCGTCCCCAAACTTTTGGAAGTGGTGCAAGTTGCTCTCAATTGGATGGAAACCATTCATTTTGTCCTTAAATCCTTTCATGCCTTCCATGTGGTTACATATTGATCGACAAATTAGGCAATTAGTAGTCCATGTCTTATTTCCCATTATCCAACTATTGGTTAAGATTAGGGATGACAAAAAAATTCATTCAGCTTGAAACCCTTAAGGCCTTACCTCGAATGATGCGTGGATAACCTGCCTAAACGGGGTGGGGATGGGGCGATATTCATTACCCCGAAGTGGGTATGGGGCGGGTATGTAAATCATTGTCCCTGCCCCACTACCCATTCTGTTTAAAATTAATTTCAAATTAAGGTTTTTATCAAACAAAAATAATAGATTTATCATATTTTTAAAGAGAACATAAGTTGTTTCTAACAAATTAGTAAAAAAGTAATAATATTTACGAAGAAAAGACATAAAAAAAATAAAAGCAAAAAATAAAATAAATAAAAAATAAAATGAAAAATAAAATGAAGCGATAAATAGGGCAGTTGACCTGCCCCGCCTTGCCCCTATCCTACCCTGTCTCTCTTTAAACGGAAATGTGGATGGGGTAAGGTAACAAAAATATCCGCTGGGATGGAGGTGGGAATGGTCGACACGTCTCATACCCACCTCGTTGCCATCTCTACTTAAAATTGAAGGTGTCACTGCAACAATTTTGGCATTCTGTGACTTTGAAGAACGACGAATACTCCAAAAATGTTATAAAAATGAGCATAGCGCTCTTTTTAGTAATACATGATTGCTAAATTTGACAAAATCAGCGGGGACTAATGTTATTATTTTTGCGATCTGTAGTTGAAATCCTAGATTGATTTAAGAGAGTGTTTGGTAGAGATTAAAATCGGATTAAAATTAAAAAATTAGTCGTTATTATTAACTTTTATTAGATGAGCGGGATCCAATAACGGCTATATTTTCAATTTTAATTGGATTTTGAATCGTGCCAAATAGGCCCTTAATGAGTTTATTTAGGACTTCTTTGGATTTGAATACTGGCTATAGTGAGTTGACTCAATTAGATAAGATTGATTTCATATGGAGGTATTGATTTAATTAGTGAATTCAATTAAGTACAACTATGAGAACTGAACTCGAGAAACGAGATTAAAAATGATAATTATTAATGGTGAAATCATGAATCAGAAACTTCAAAAATCATATTTAATAGCCCACTCAAAGCTATCCATAATCTATTAAAAAAACAATTATGTTTAATTGCTTTTATTTTTCTTAATTAAATTAGTTCAATCAAAACTTTCCCTGAAATTTTCACCATATTGGATAAATCAATTAAATTATGAAAAACTTTTGGGTAAATTTTCATTAGACAAAAAATTTTTGCAGTTAAATAAATTAATAAATTATGAAAAATCAAATATTACTTACGAAACAATCACAAAAAAATACTTACGATCTTTTAGTTAGTAGTATTAAAATATAAATAATTTTATAAATTTGATTTCCCAATGAAAATATTCACTAAATTAATTAATTAAAATACAGAATGACAATATTATTGTGACACGAACAATGTATTGTAGCATTTATTCTTATTATTCCAATAAATAAATTAACATTTGACTAAAACGAATAAGAAATGATGAATTCTCACAAACATAAAATTAATCACACAACATTAATGAAACAACAAATCATTCCTTCACAAATTTCCTAGAATCTTGAACGCTT